CCAACAATAAGCCTTTAGAATGAATAAAACGTGTCACAATATTCAAGAAGGCCTGTGAGCTAATTAACATAATATATTATATCCAACAATAAGCCTTTAGAATGAATAAAACGTGTCACAATATTCAAGAAGGCCTGTGAGCTAATTAACATAATATATTATATCCAACAATAAGCCTTTAGAATGAATAAAACGTGCGACAATATTCAAGAAGGAACGTGAACTAATTAACATAAAATATTATATTCAACAACAATCTTTAGCATTAATAGAACGTGCGACAATATTCAAGAAAGGTTGTCAGCTAATCAACATAATATATTATATCCAACAATAGAATTAATAAAACGTGTCATAACATTCCAGAAGGAATTTGAGGTAATTAACATAAAATATTATATTCAACAACAATCTTTAGCATTAATAGAACGTGCGACAATATTCAAGAAAGGTTGTCAGCTAATCAACATAATATATTATATCCAACGATAGAATTAATAAAACGTGTCATAACATTCCAGAAGGAATTTGAGGTAATTAGCATAATAAATTACATCCAATAGTAAGTCTTCAACCACTAAAAAGTTCGACAGTATTAACAGAAAAAGCACGAGCTAATTTACATAATAAGTTATGTCGAGCTGTGAATTTTGTCAATTTCTGTAATAATTTCGAATTTTAAAACAAATATTAATGAGCTAATTAAACGACATGGCGTCTTCAGAGGAGCAGAAATAAGACTTTGCTTTATATGTAACCAGAAACAAACTTGAGGAAACGTGTTTTGTGTAGATTCTCTTAGGCGTGGATTTAAAGTAATGACGACATAAAGCTACGCAACAAAATAAAAGACAGCATGCATACGTAGGACTTAGGTAATCAGGTTTAATACAAGTTTATCGTAATAGCTAACAGATTTAGATTTTATTTATACAATTTTTTTATTCATATGTTTACAGCTTTGTCTGGAGATCTTTGATGGTTAACTACTTAAACCTGGTCAGCATGATAATGAAAACAGCATAAAGCACGCGCACATATCAGAAAGTAAAGATATTAAAACTGTCGCAGACGCTCAACCTATTTCGAAGAATGGGATTTAGGCCTAGTCAACACGTTTCATGACAACGTTAAGGAACAGCCTTATTGTCAAACGATCTTAGCTTATGATAATATATATTGTTTGTTTGATTTGTCTGGGTACAAGAGTAGGTTTAGAAGTATATATATATATGTGTGTAGTGTGAGACTAATGATTGGTTGTACCATATCCAGCTGCTTGCTGTAAGCACTGGTGCTCAGGTTCGCTTCAATAAGCGATCGTCCATTGTTAAAGACAGAACAGGTCAACAGCCCGAGAGAGAACATGTCGCTGTACGGCGAACACATTGATGAAAACTGGATTTCTGGAGCAGTAAAGTCTAGGTCCGGTTGTCCCATTTTTGGTAACTTACACGTGAAAGGCTGACAAGGCACAGCATTCTGTAAGAACATACATCAATAGGCAATGATTACAACTCGCTTCATTGAAATAAAAACCAAATGGACAATCTACAGTATTAGAAACACACTTTCGCCAGTTTAAAAGTTGTACCTACCGAATTATTTTTTATAAATTACAAATACATTTTAATTAAGGGTCTTCTTCTTCACTGAAACTAACCGAAAGCTTTAATCTTTCGACAAAATAGCCAAACATAATAAGCGATCTTAATGCCATCTATTGAGCGCAGTCACAAAGGAAATTCAAAGTTTAATAAATAAAGTTTAAGCTTAAATAAGGAGCCTCATCTAACATTCGATTACTTTAAGACCAAAATAAACTGACAAAGTATAAACAGCAAATTATTAATTTATTAATGTTTGATTTAAGAAAATAAACAGTTGTTTCAAAGTTTTTAAGGAAAACAAAACTTAGGGTACAAGATTAGAAACCCTATTATAATTATGTTAGGGTACAATATTAGAAACCCTATTATAATTATGTTAGGGTACAATATTAGAAACCCTATTATAATTATGTTAGGATACAAGATTAGAAGCTCTATTATAATTATGTTAGGGTACAATATTAGTAACCCTATTATAATTATGTTAGGGTACAATATTAGAAACCCTATTATAATTATGTTAGGATACAAGATTAGAAGCTCTATTATAATTATGTTAGGGTACAATATTAGAAACCCTATTATAATTATGTTAGGATACAATATTAGAAACCCTATTATAATTATGTTAGGGTACAATATTAGAAACCCTATTATAATTATGTTACGCTACAATATTAGAAACCCT